TGCAGTAACCCTGCCTCGAAGCTTTCCATGGTCACGTCCCTGTTACAGGAAACATGATAAAGGCAGCATGTGCCACCAAACTGGGCCTTAAAGTCTCCAGCAGTACGCAGTCAGCTCGTCAGGCAGATGGCTCCTCGCCATTGAAGGTGGTTGGAGAAACATGCACACATTTTCAATTAGGCGGGCACATGCTCTTTTTTGATGGACTTGTGGTAGAAAATTTGGATTCAGACATTCTTGCTGGCCTCCCCTGTATGGAATGTAATGACATTTCTATCCGCCCCGCTAGACATCAGAACTGTGTGGCATCAGACACATACGAGTATGGCGCCAATCGGACATATGGAGACAGACATGCTATTCGTCAAGCTCATGTGCTTCGTGCTACCTCATCACATACTGTGTGGCCTGGGGACTTTGTTGAACTTGAATGAGGAGCTCGCTGTCGAGCCGCACGAGGACTGTATACACTGGTTTGCTCCATCGTGGTTTGTAGGGGTATCCGGAAAAATCAGAATTCCCAATCTGACTGACGCACCACAGGGCATTAGAAAACATGATCATGTATGCTGTGTTCGCATGACCTACATACCAGAACCCCAAACTGAACGAGCCCAGGTAGAAGTTCCTCATGCTGTCACTCGCAAGCCCAGTATGCACAGTACAACACTATTCTCTGACCTTATCTCATTAGACCCCAATGGCAATATGACGGAGGACATTAGAGATACATTTCGGGAGGTTCATAGGGAATTTGATGAGGTCTTCAGTCCACAGTATAGGGGCTATAATGGAGCTACTGGCCCCTTCCAAGCAAGGGTAAACATGGGGCCTGTCCAACTGACTCAGCGGAAGGGAAGGGTCCCGCAGTACTCCAGAGGCCAGCTGCAGGAACTGCAGGCTCAGTTTGATGCGCTGGAGTCACTTGGTGTTTTTTGAAAGCCCGAGGACATTGATGTCGATGTGGAATATGTCAACCCATCGTTTCTTGTCAAAAAGCCTAATGGGGGGTTTCATCTTCCGATGTGGGCCGTTATAGCAAACCCCAACCGTCGCTGATGACGAATGTCGATGCCACACTGTGTCTGATAGCTCAGTGGAGATATATCATTGCGACAGAACTCACCAAGGCATTCTACCAAATTCCCCTTTCCAAATCTTCTATGAAGTACTGCAGGGTGGTCACGCCATTTAAAGGAGTCCGTGTGTATGCCAGATGTGCCATGGGCATGCCCGGTTCAGAAACCGCATTAGAGGAGTTAACCTGTCGCGTGCTTGGCGACCTCCTTCATCAGGGACAGGTGGCCAAGGTCGCTGATGACTTGTACTGTGGTGCCGATACCCTTGAGGATCTTCTTGCAGTGTGGAAAAAGGTCTTAGTGGCCCTCCAGGCATGCAAAATGCTTATCTCCCAGTAAGACGATCGTTGCCCCAGTCCAGACCAACATTTTGGGGTGGGTCTAGAATCAGGGTACTATTCGTGCCAGTTCGCACCGCATTTCAACATTGGCCTCGTGCACCCCTCCTACGACTGTTAGTGGTCTACGGTCCTTTATTGGTGCGTATAAAGTCCTAGCTCATGTCCTTAAGGGGTGTGCGTCGATCCTTGCCCCCTTCGACAACATGGTCGCTCGTGGTGAGTCGACCGCTGCGGTTATGTGGTCAAATGAGCTCCTCCAGTGTTTTCGTAGGGCTCAGCAGGCGTTATCCACTAGTTGCGCAGTGACAATACCACTACCTGATGACCAAATTTGGATTCTCACTGACGGTGCTCTTAGGGATCCAGGGCTAGGCGCGACAATGTATGTTACGAGGGGGGGGAAGTTGTTGATCGCCGGACACTTTAGCGCTAAGCTTCACAAAAATCAGATCAATTGAGTTCCGTGTGAGATTGAGGCACTAGCTATAGCCGCTGCCCTCTGAAGCATTTTGGTCCATATATTATTCAGTCATCACAGAAGGTGTGTGTGCTCACTGACAGTAAACCATGCGTACAGGCCTTTGAGAAGCTGTGCAGGGGGGAATTTTCTGCGAGCCCACGTGTTACTACTTTCTTGTCTACTGCAAGCCACTTTCAGGTCTCTGTCGTGTTGCTGGGGCTGCTATTCTCCCTTCAGATTATGCTAGTTGCCATGCTGCACAATGTGACAGTCCGGCATGTCAGGTGTGTAGCTTCGTCCGTGAATCCATGGTCTCCGTCGTGTGCCGTACTGATGTTGCCGACATCTTGCGGGGAGCTCAAAAGGTGCCCTTTGCCAATAGGGCCACATGGGTGTCTATTCAGGCTGAGTGTCCAGACCTCCACAGGGTATGCACACATCTTCGGCAGGGTACACGCCCTTCCAAGAGAGTTACCAATGTCAAAGATGTGAAACGGTATTTTTATACTGTTACCTTAGCAAGGGATGGGCTGTTAGTTGTGCGGCGTGACACACCACTGTCAAACACTACCGAATGCATCGTTGTTCCAAGGTTAGTACTGCATGGGTTGCTTATGTCATTGCACATTAGGTTAGACCACCCCTCGGCTCACCAGTTGAGACTTATCGTTGGTCGGTACTTCTACGGGCTGGACTTGGATTCAGCCATCCAGCTTACCAGTAAGGGATGTCACCAATGTGCTGCACTGGCTAAGTCCCCTGTGTTCGCAGTGGAGCAGTCCAGCTGTGATCCACCTGAGACGGTCGGGTCTACTTTTGCAGCTGATGTGCTTAAACGTGAGCGCCAGTTCATCTTAGTCGTTCGTGAGTGTGTGACAACCTTTACAGCTGCTTTGTTAATTGATGACGAGCGGAAGGAAACGTTGCGGGATGGTATTGTACACTTGTGTATTGGCCTTCATCCGCTTGATGGCCCCTTTGCTATAGTTAGAACTGATCCAGCACCAGGTTTTTCAGCACTGGCCAAGGACACAGTGCTTGCTCAATACAGGCTGGCCATTGAAGTTGGCGATGCTAAAAATATCAACAAAAATCCGGTGGCTGAAAAGGCCATCCAGAAGCTACAGGGTGAGATTTTGCGACTAGAACCACACTGTGGGGTCGTCACCCCCTTACTATTGTCTGTAGCTGTTGCTCGGTTAAATAGCTGTATTTGGTCACGTGGCATGTCAGCCCGTGAGATGCTGCTGCAGCGTGATCAGTTCTCTCTCGAACAGTTACCGGTGCATGACCGGGAACTGATTGCGTTGCAGCATGCACAACGCCTGGCTAACCACCCCCACAGTTTTAAAGCTAAAGCTCCACTGAGTTGGTGTGCACCTAGCCTTGATATTTGCCCTGGCGACCTTGTGTATTTGTATAGCGACCGTAACAAGTCACGAGCTCGAAGCAGATATCTTGTGCTTAGTTCAGACGGGACGTGGTGCAACGTCCGTAAGTTTACGGGTTCCCAGTTGCGGCATACTTCTTATAGGGTTCACTTAACAGATTGTTATAAAATTGACTCTTTCCCAAGTGTCACAGGTCATTGTGGTGACGGTGCAGCATCTGAGAGCGAAGAGGAGTGCCACTTGTTGCACCTCCGAGCGACCCTGACATAGCGACACCCCCTGGGTCTGATGACAGCGAATGTCCAGAGGGTAGGACCATGTCCCCATCAGGTTCGGTGGAGGTCCCGTGCCACGAGTTAGCCTCCCTCTCAGCTGTTCTGTTGCAGGCTCCTCGGTGGTCAGACCGTCTCCATCAACTTCCCGACAAGTTAAAGGATTATGAGCTGCACTAGATGGGCTGCCTTCACCCGTATCCTTGCTTTGCTTTGAGAAAGTTTTGTTGAAACTTTGAAGCTTTTTTTGTTGTTGTTTCAAATGCCCACAGGTGCCAGAGAAGAGGGGGTATGTTCTGGAGGGAAAATGGGTGGCGCCAGTATGTGTGACGTGACTCCTGATGTTGTCCGTGATCCCGTTGGCCTGGGTGGAGCTGGCGCATGTGCTTCTTGGTATTGGCCGTCGCCATTGAAGGCTTGACTAAACTATTCTCTCGTGTCAGTGATTCAATGTACCTCACCTACACACTGGCACTGTTTGTTTGTTTTCATACTGAAGTTCAGTCTGGTGGGTGTGCTGAGTGTCCACTGTGTGTTATCATATGTAAACAAAAGAGTCTTATTAAAAACAAATAAAAACTAATAAAAAACTAATAATTTTTAAAAAAAACATTACACGGGTTGCAACTCTAAATTTGATATCAAATGCATAGTTATTTTAAAAATCCAGATGCAAGAAGTTATTCTTATAGAAATATAAATTACTAACAATATAATTTATTAATCTTAATTCAAAATTAAAACTCCAAAACCAATTAAAAGAGCATTACAGCTGCCCATAATGTCAAGCCAAGAGCTGCATGCCTTTGGCATAGCAGTCAAACAAAAATGAATCTGCCTTAATGTAAGTCTCTGTGATGTTTTGTATACTGAGAACAGAAGAGGGCCAGATACTAAACCCTGAGGTACCCCAGTGGTTATTTGATGCAACGCAGACTCTTTTCCAACATAACCTGAAGGACTTATATAAGAAATCGTATATCTGTCATTCTAAATGTCTTTACTGTCATAAATTTAATACATCCTAGCCGAGTAAAAGTATTAATTTCTTTAAAAACAACAACAACATACTGACCCCACATTTCTTGAACAGTAGTGGGTACATTGGAATGCTGCTGAGCTGTTGTTTGCTTCGACATCAAAGTCCAGTCTTTACTTTACTTAGCACAGTACTAAAATTTTTGTACATTTCTGCTCAGCAGGTAGAGAAAAATTTGTAGAATATCAATAAACCACTGCAATTAGCTGTATGCTATTATTATAAAGTTTTCTTAATGCAATAGCAATGCAGGTGTTTGTGACCTTTTTTAAATTTTTATTCTGCAATTTAAAATATTGCAATAATCATTACCAAAGCACAAAGGAAATCAGTACTTAATAATAATAATAATGTAGTCAGTGTTTCCAAAATCATTTGACAAATCAATCATTAACATACTGCTCCACCCTCCTCTGTTCACTTAAATACAAGCATTGTGATTTTGGTTCACAAATCACTGTCGGCGTAAACATGGTAAGCTTCTCTTATAATACTGTATATGTTTAGTTTAATATGAAGATTTTAGGACTGTCGTTAGGTAATTTTCACAATTACAGAATTCATTAAATGTATGTGAATTTCATGAATTTCATTTTAGACTTGTTAAGCTTCAGTGATAATTAAATTTTACCATACAAACAATAAATTAATTAATAAACAACTCATTAATTGAGGCACTTTACTTAGCACATGTGTACATTTTTAACATCGGATCAATGTGTTTGTTGACTGTGAAGAGGCCGGTGGTTTTGGGTTTGTTTCTGTGCGCTGCCCTTTCTCTAGTCAATGCTGCATGCTTCGTTGAGGAATATAAAACATCAGGTATAAACTGTCCTTCGCTTTTATTGCATTACTAAAAAATGTGCTCTATTATAATTATCATTATTATTATTACGTTTTTTTTTCTTCCCCTGAATTCTTTCTCTGATCTTTCATAGTTACGTTTTGCCATGATGGGACAGATAAGACATGGCATCCTACTGGATCTGTTTGGAGAAACAGTAAATGTTTTGACTGTAATTGTTCTGCTGATTCCATGAGGTGCTGTGATGCGTAAGTACAGCATTTTTACTGTGTAGTGACATCACCATTGATTTCCTCAATCAATACAACACAAAGGAGTTACTTACAACGGAAGTAAATGAATTTTTTTTTGGAGGATTTAAAAGAAATTGATATTAAAACTGATATTAAATTCAAAAATAAAAATAAGTTATAAAAAGCATTTAATTGAAAACTCTTCAAGACCAAAGGTTATCGAACGAGTAAGTTAACTCGGATATTTTAATTTAAATATCTTACTGATAAAACATAATAATTCCTTTCGTTGTGTTTCATTCCTGTAGAATGCAGAGGCCTGTTAATTATCCGGACAAGTGCCAAGTGGAGTACGATTACACTACATGCACATTTGAAATATTTGAGAAAGTTACCTGTTCTGCTACCGGTGGTGTTATCGGGAAATGACGGCCATGAATTATGAAAAGGAAGCCATCTTCATTGTATTATCTGCTGATTTAAACGACACTAACCTGTGTTTAATTTGAAAAAATAAAAAACATTACACATGTGTTCATTTTCAATTTCAAACATGTTTTAACATTAAACAGCATGACGTGACATTGATAAAATTAAAGTAAATTGATTTTACTCATGTTTATATAATTAAAACAGAATCAATACAGTCTCTTTGATGTTTTTTTTTTACACATCAGCACAGACCCTATCTTGACACTTCTTTAACTCTTGATGTCATGTCTGTTAACTCTCAAAGGCAGGTTTGATTTGGTTCAAAAAACTTTTTTTGTTTCTCTCTTTACATCCCGATAGCAATCACTAAGTGGTCTAAATGTATTTTTATGTATTTATATAGTCTGTGGAAGGTGTAGGACCATCAAATGTTCGCCCAATCATATCTCTCGGTCCGAGGGCTACGATAGGCTGCTAAGGTGAACATTTTAAGATGAATATTTCACTTACTGGATAGAAGCAACTTACTTATACATACATACAGGTAATCTGTAGTAAATAATATCTTATCGATTACTTTACAGAATTTCATCGCACATTTCATCGCCAGCAACTGCACAAAATTGCATATTTTGCTCATTTTGGGCCTCTATATAAAACTGAATAAATCCTCCATACATGCACTATAAAAACCTTTAGTCTCAAATATGACACTCAACAAAACACCGCATATGCAAACAAACGCATATTTATATTATACATATTTTGTCTAAATGTTCAATAAAGTAGTCCATTTACAAAAATTAGATTTTTGGAACTATTGCTTTAAAATGTAAAGCTTTACAGGGAAAAAAAAAAGGTTGGTATTTGTTCAAATGTGATGCTGTCAATAAACAAACATTTTCAGTAACATTTCTTACCACTAGATGGCAAAATAACAACCTTAATAACTTTTGGGGTTTCTTTATTGCTTTAAAAAAAACGAGTATGGAAAGTTGTTTTGGAGTCAAGGGGCTGAGAGAGACAATGATTTTGCACTGTCTGGCAAAGACACACACACACACACACACACACACACACTCAAACATAAACACACACAACCACACTCCATCAATCTAGCAGCAACTGGGGCAGTGAGCAGAAGTGTGTCAGACTTTGGGGTGCATGTGCACATTTACATGTGTGCATTTGCCTTCTAGAAACTTTTTTCTAACCAAGAATCTTTCTTAGAGATATTTGCATTTTCTTTTTTCTATATAACCTACACTCTGCTACCACAGGACAGTTGAAGCAAATACAAATATAGTCTTTTGGAGAATGGTTTCTCCAAATTAACTGCACGGAACAGCTGCAAGGATTACGGATTGTCAAGGACCCTGTGGAACCTTACTTTTCTCTCATGGTCACTTTTGTATTTTGCCTGTAGTCCTGATTTAGCTTGACTCAAACAGTGCTTTACAACATGTGCAGACTTTGGAGGATAGCAGTTTTGCTCTGTGTCAAATTGGTGGACACTGCGAATGGAAATACAGGACTGCACTGTCTGGCAAAGACACACACACACACACACACACACACACACTCAAACATAAACACACACAACCACACTCCATCAATCTAGCAGCAACTGGGGCAGTGAGCAGAAGTGTGTCAGACTTTGGGGTGCATGTGCACATTTACATGTGTGCATTTGCCTTCTAGAAACTTCTTTCTAACCAAGAATCTTTCTTAGAGATATTTGCATTTTCTTTTTTCCATATAACCTACACTCTGCTACCACAGGACAGTAGAAGCAAATACAAATCTAGTCTTTTGGAGAATGGTTTCTCCAAATTAACTGCACGGAACAGCTGCAAGGATTACGGATTGTCAAGGACCCTGTGGAACCTTAATTTTCTCTCATGGTCACTTTTGTATTTTGCCTGTAGTCCTGATTTAGCTTGACTCAAACAGTGCTTTACAACATGTGCAGACTTTGGAGGATAGCAGTTTTGCTCTGTGTCAAATTGGTGGACACTGCGAATGGAAATACAGGACTCGTGCCGGAAAGAGGGACAGCAGCTTCCTCCTGCTATGGAGGTTTTGACCTCTACTTTGTACTAGACAAGTAAGTTATCCTGTGATTTACCACCTTTTCTTACCAATGCATGGTCATCACACTCTGTATATGCTGTGTTGGCATCTGTACACCATGTAAGACTCACTTTGTCTGAGGGCTTTAACCCATTGTTTTGACTTTTGCTCATGCAGAATTAGGTTTACAATTTAAATGCAATTTTTTTCAGCGATATAAGGTCTATTATGTGGCAAAGTTTCAGGTTAAGTGATGCTTTCATGTACTGTATTAATGTTTTATCTTTTTTTTTTTTTTTTTGATAAAAATTTACCCAAAAGGTCACATTTTGATACTTTGAAGATCATTTGAACATTTAAAATGACTGAACTTCATTATGCAAAGTGGCACTTTTCGGAGCACTACAGTAAATACATGTTTCTTCATTCTGCTCAATGACTTTTAATCCAAGTTTTTTCCCCTTATATCTATTGTTTTGTACTTCGATTGTTTTACTTTTTGTGAAGTATGTGTTGCTTGAAACGTGTGCATATGATATATTTCTTTGAAGCAATTTCCATGTTGTTTGATATTTCATTGTTTAGTGCATAATGACATTCACACAGTGTTTGCAAGAGAGAGAGAGAGAGAGAGGAAAAATCTAATAAAGATTACTGTTTTCCTCTGTAACATATGTCTCATCCAACAACAATAATGCATGAGGTGGGAAAATGGCATGTTAGGGGTCAATGCGGACACGCTGGCTTGATGCAAGTTTACAAATATGCAGCAATGAGCCAAAAGACTGCAAGGGAAGGATAGATTAAACAGCTGGCTTAAGAGGCCATTTGCCATATTAATTCCACATATGCAGTTCAATAGAAAAGTAATGTACACTGGGAAAAAATCGATGATTTAGGATTTGTTTTGAAACAGTTTTCACTTTGAAATTGCTATTTCATGAAATACAACAAAGAAACAGCAAGTAATATTGAATTGTATTTGAAATTTTGAATTTTCTGACTTTTTATATGTAGTTCAGAAATGATTACCGTGCATTTTGACTACAAAATGAGGTCTTGTTTGATAATTTACTTGGCAACTCGCAAGCTACCTTGACCTAATTTTGGCATGCAGTGTTGCGAAAGCCCTAGGACTTATAAAAGCACATGCAAACACAATTACACACAGTTCTAAACTCAATCATCACACTGTGATGTTTACCTGTGTGCTGCTAGCTTTTATACAATATAAATGCACACACACACACACACACACACACACACGTGGACATAGAATAGATTGGATGTGGGTCACAGTTTCCAGCTATTTCGTTTCAGTCTAAACTTTAACGCTACTTGGCAACTTTTCCCCAGTGTTATGTTCATGTTCGACGAATGTGTTTTAAGTATAAAAAACACAGCTGTGTTTCCTAATACATGTAAATCATTCCTCACAGCTCGCCTGTCAGTTCGGCTGTGAATGTGATGTTATTGTTGGACAGATTCATACTGTTATACAGTGACATGTCAACTCATTTCCCCTTTACTCCACTGCCCTGGATACTGCAAATCAAATTAGTTTTCATTTCATTCATTTTGTTTTTTCAGGAAGAACATTTTCCTGAACATGACTATATTGATTATGCTATTGTCTGTTGGTGCAAAGAACATTTATAATGCAATATTCATGTAGTGTTCAGTCATTATCAGCACCCAGTGGCTGAGCCCTGATGACAGAACATGCCAGCAAAGCGAATAGCTGTAGTCCAAATGTCTGAGAATGCTAGTGGAAGATTTCTATTTTGCAGATTTAAAAAAAAATAAAAAAAAATAACATAAAATAAAATAAAATTAAATTAAATTAAATTAAATAAAAATTAAATAAATAATAAAATTTTAATTATATTATTGTTATATAAATTAATCATTCTAAATTAGTCAGCATAATAATTTGTAATTATTATAATAATTAATGTCAGGATTTTAGTATTTGGTGCTTTCAATTTCATATCACTCATACATACATATACATGCGTGTGTGTGAGTAAAAATGTTCTCTAGAATGATTTAAAAATGTGCATCTTGTGCTTCAATGGAAATCAAGCTCATAATTGCTTATAATTAATTTAACATCGTAGCTTTTCTTATTGTACAAAATACTAAATCTTTATTTCCAATAAATAATAAAAACTCCCCATTTCAACCCAACTGTACTATTGAAGCAAAAAAGCAAAGACAAAAACTGTCAAATCCGACGTTTGCAATAGCCAAGTCAAGTCACCTTTATTTAGCACTTTATACAGTACAGATTTTTACAAAGCAGCTTTTTACAATGATAATCAAGAAAATAATGATTCAGTGATGCAAACAGAATTCAATTTTGCTGCAAAGCAGCTCTAAAAACAAGAAGACAATAGTAAACAGTCATTATAAAGCAAATTCAGTTCACTGTTAATTCAGTGCCGTTTAAGTCAATCAATAATTGAATGAGTTTAATTCATCTATAAAGCAGCTTTGGAGAAAACAATAATGTCATCGTCCAGTTCACTTCACTTCTCAACCAATAATGTCAGTGCATTTAAGTCATTAATATTGCCAAATAGTAAGTGTCCCTAAGTGGCAAGGAACCCAAAATCCATCTGTGACAAAAATGGAGAGAGAAAAAAAAAAAAACCTTGGGAGAAACCAAGCTCAGTCGGGGAGGCCAGTGCTCCTCTGGCCGACAGTTGTCAGATTCATGTATTTTAAATGCTACAGCAGATATAAACATAACTGGTCATAATCAGTCAGTGTAACAGTCTATTAAGAATCTTCAGCTGACAAGAAGAGATGCAATGGAATTCATTTAGCATATAAAACAGAAGCCTTCCAGCTATCATGGGACAATGCCCACCATTAAGTTCTGGTTGCGTTTAACACGGGTTTGTTTATCAACACAAATCAATCAGCAATCACTTGGATGTGAGTTATGGGAAAGTCAGTGCTTGGTTGCTCTACTTATGGGCCATTTCTGTGGCTACACTTTATAGCTGTGGGCTTGATGGTTTGGCTCCTGTGCTCAGGAGGGTCTGTGAAGGCCATTTACCATTCTCCTCCATTCATTCAGCTCAAGCGCTTTTGCAGACACAGTGGTGGGAATAAAGAAACATGTGTTATGAAACTAATAATGTCACTCAACTCTAATGACCAGGAAGGCCTGTTGTTGTTTCTGAAATAGTTCTGGAGCTTCTGCTTCTACTTGGTCAATCACATTCAGTGATCAAACTATTTGAACATTGTCCTAAATTTGAAACATACCGTTCTCTGTGAACTTGTCATATATCATCAAGGTAGAATAACTAATTAACAACATTTTGGAGAAATCAGTAGTCAGCTTTGTTTAATGAAGAAATTAAGTCCCCAGTTAAAGCAAGAATGAAATGAAATCAGTGCCCAAAAGAACTGACATGAGACACAAAAAGCTGGAAGAGAAGTTTAATCAAAAGTAGAAATGTTACACTATAGCTAAATGTATTAGCTAATGAATCCACAAATAAAGTACTGTAACTTGGATTGCAGTTTAAACATGATAATATACACTGAACAAAATTATAAACGTTTTTGCCCCCATTTTTTTGTGAGCTGAACTCAAAGATTTAAGACTTTTTCTATGTACACAATGTCCACCAGAGCTGTTGCTCGTGAATTGAATGTTCATTTCTCTACCATAAGCCGTCTCCACAGGCGTTTCAGAGAATTTGGCAGTACATCCAACCGGCCTCACAACTGCAGACCACGTGTAACCACACCAGCCCAGGACCTCCACATCCAGCATCTTCACCTCCAAGATCGTCTGAGACCAGCCACCCGGACAGCTGCTGCAACAATCGGTTTGCATAACCAAAGAATTTCTGCACAAACTGTCAGAAACCGTCTCAGGGAAGCTCATCTGCATGCTCGTCGTCCTCATCGGGGTCTCGACCTGACTGCAGTTCGTCGTCGTAACCGACTTGAGTGGGCAAATGCTCACATTCGATGGTGTCTGGCACTTTGGAGAGGTGTTCTCTTCACGGATGAATCCCGGTTTTCACTGTACAGGGCAGATGGCAGACAGCGCGTTGTGTGGGTGAGCGGTTTGCTGATGTCAACGTTGTGGATCGAGTGGCCCATGGTGGCAGTGGGGTTATGGTATGGGCAGGCGTATGTTATGGACAACGAACACAGGTGCATTTTATTGATGGCATCTTGATATGCCACACCTGTGAGGTGGATGGATTATCTCGGCAAAGGAGAAGTGCTCACTAACACAGATTTAGACAGATTCTGTTTATGGTTTATGACATTTTCTATGACACAGCGGTTTATATATTCTGTATTTATATATAACTCACGTATTACATGGCCACCAAATTAATGAATAAATTCCTTGAAGTCTAAATTACTTGTTAATAAAGTATTTTTCAGCAGTAGCACTTCATTACTTAAAGCAACTGAATGTTAGATTTTACCTTAAGAGTTCTGATGCAAAAGCCTCTAAATGCCATCTGAAATTTTTATCTAAAATGAGAATTTTTATCAGGCTCCTATGTTAGGTTCAGTAATTTTACTCTAATTGCAATGTATAGGTCCTTTTCTATGCAATTAAAGGGAAATAACTGAACTTATATATAGGAGCCTGATAAAAATGCTAATTTTAGAAGAAATTTTCAGCCGGCACTTAGATGCTTTTGCATCTGAACTCTTCAAATATCAGTTTAACATCATTCTGATGATAAGCTGATGTCTAATAAGGCGTCTGGCTTCTGTTTCTTTCCCACGCTACCGCCAAACGTCTGTTCTGGAAGTATGTAAATTTGGTGAGCGGGAACTAAATTCTGCGAAAAGGCCGGATTGCTTTACGGCAGCAAATGCACATGTACATCCATCATATGCTGTAATTACGACAGCGATATATTTACGACCGGGAAATCAACTCACCTAACTGTAGGGGGCAGCGGTTTATATATTCTGTATTTATATATAACTCACGTATTACATGGCCACCAAATTAATGAATAAATTCCTTGAAGTCTA